GAAATAAGAAATCCAACTCAATCCTGTCATCTAAGAACAAAAAAAGCAATGTAAGATAAAAAGACAATGTTAAGAACAATGCTAGTATGAATTCTCTGAAGAAAGCAATGCCTAGAACAATGCAGATCGGGGAAAAAGCAGGAACAGGGGTTTTGAGGTTCTTCTGTTCCCTCACTCTCAAAAAAGAAGAAAGAATTCAAATCATTAAAAGTGAATAATGAGTAGCTTTCAGCGATCCGTTGCAACAGGCCATCTCTTATTCATTTCAAAAAATCACTTAAATTTGACCTTTCCATGAACTTTTAGTTTACGCTAAGTGATGCTCTTTTGAAGATGTAAACCAACATTGCATATGGTATAAATTAATATTCATCATCATCAGCTTAATTTAACGGGTCTAGATACAGAACCATAGGAACCATAGATAAGTCAATGATTCTGAAAACTATCAAATACTACATAGAAAAAGTTACCTTTATAATGTTTGCTTAAACCTTGTACTCATTGACTCGCATCCATTTCGTAGACGACCACTTATTTCCTCTAATCACAGGGCAGCCTCCTGGATAATTAAAAACAGTAAATTATAAATGATCCTAGAAAAGAAATGAACAGAAAGTAGGAAGATATTAACTTGTGATAAATTAAGTAATGCAACTAGACATTCAAGGGAAATGAGTCATGATGCTCAAAAATTAAAGGGTCCCTGTTTGATAAAGCTGAAATTTGAACCACACACCTCAGCAGCAAGCTAAATAGTAACTAGAACTTAACCATGCAGACTTGAAGGATCAAGACTTGCATTCAGGCTTCATGCTCCAGAAAAGTAATGCATCACCCATCCTTGGTTTAACAGAAAGTCCTCCTTTTCCACACTCAGATAATTCATTCCACCAAGGCACAGCACTAATGTTCCCCTTTGCCGCAGGAAACACTGTCTCTCCCCCTTTCTTCAACATCTGAGCTGTAAAACGGTAAAAAAAGTACAGAAAGAACAAATGTGAACTTACACATAATGCACTAGGATAAAAAAACACAGTGAAAATATGTAATGCCACTTACAGGTACATAAGGACTGTAGCTATGCGCTGGCCCCCGTTTTTAGTATTGAACTCATCCATGAAGTAGTCATAGTGAGGCTCATATTTTTGGCCAGCCTCATAGTGGAGAATTTGAAGTCCTTCCCCATGCTCTGCATATTATTGTGTTGCCATGAGTAACTTTACAACCACTGATAGCACAAAAAACAAGAGCTGACCTAAAGCAGACTCTAAGGAAGAATACATGATAATATGGAAGAAAGAAGTACACTAGTGAAAGTAATGAAAAACAAATGACAGATAAATTTGGATTGATCCAGATACTAGACATACCGACTGGTATGAAGGTAAAATCTGCAATCCTTCTCTCAATGTTCCTAATAATCTTATCACGTCCTCTAGCTAGAAATGTTCCAGAACTTGTACGTACCCTGTATGTAAACATCCAGGGTTTCACATATAATCAAAGAGTTAACAAATATAAAAATGAAAACTATATGCAATAAGATCATTAAGAAGTACATACCTACTATCTTTACTCTTGCCAGTTTCACTATCAACAACGGTTGACTTTACCATATGAGGCTTGGCAAGATCAATCAGGTATTCACATTCCTCCTTGGACTGCCAAATATCACAAGGACCTTGATCAGGTACAAAAACTTTCTAACTAAAAATTCATTTCGGACCAAGTAAGAAACCCATGTTCATAATAGGATCTACTCCAAAAATTGGACAGCAGGACATGAATGCATTTATTATTCTAGTATTAACTTTCTCTGATTTTCCTTGCTTTTGTTTTTAGTTCTTGTGAATGATTGTATAAAAAAATGACATTAAATCATCTTCTATTTTATGGATCCGCTTAATTACTAAGAATATATTTGAGATAAACTTCTTAATAAATATTTCGCATTACATTATCAGTTTAAAGTACTAGAATACAGGAAACTTTTCTATGAAATTTAAAAGAAAAAAATCAAAGGCCAACAAATAAAAAAAAAATTGCTTATTTGAAAAATAATTTCAATAGCGATAATGCTTCAGTTAGAGTTAAAAATAAAAATGAAGAGGAACAGAAAAAAAAAATTAACCTTTTTCTGCCAAAGAAAAAAAAATGAGAAACTGACCAAGAAATTATGGTAGATAAAAGCTCTAGGCTCCCAAGAGATGACTTCAACCCAGTGCTCTCCTCTTCCTTCATCATCATCACTTCTGCCAATTCCAAAAATGCACCCAAAACAAGCAGAGTTATTACCAGATCGCCATTCGCCATCCAACTCAACCAAAAATTTCAAAAACAAAACTCACCTGTCGACGACGTTATGCACAATCGAGCTCAAATCGTTAGGTTTAGGTGAATTTCCGGAGTTACTGCTAGGAATTGAAAGGATTCCGAGCGCCAAAAGAATCAAAATCAGGAAGGTGAACATGATTAGCATGGTTAGAAACATAGTTGACGATGACGATTTCCGAGCCGGAAGGCGCGAATACCTCGGCTTCGCCATTGCTTCTAAAAACTCCGGAGATCGAGATCTGGAACTTCCTCGACTCGGTTTCACAAGAGACTTAGTTATCAGTAATGCTAACTTTTTTTTTTCTTTTTTATTTTAGAAGTCTTCTATTCCTCCACCTTTTTTTTTTTTTTTTTGTAATAATAAGTCTTTTGGTTTCCTGTTTCGTTAGCTTGTGGAAACCAATGTCCTTCGAAATTGTTCTCCTTAAATCGCATTTGGATATTTCTCGTTTTTGCTCTTTTCTCCCTATACTTTTTCTTATTTATATATTTCCATTATATGTTTACTTATTAGCACCAAGATTTTTTATTTGTATTATTTTAACAATAAAAATTGTTTTTTAACCCAACTAACCTGTCTAGTCTAACATTATCTGTTACCGAATGTGGCGTACGGCTACCCATTGTAACTTATCCATAAATTTTGCATGCAAAGCCTTACAAATTAATTAATTAATAATTTGTCATCCCAAAGAAGGAAATGTGTTAGGTTAATAAATTTTTTTTTTGTAAGAAAAGCCAGAGCTTAGGAAGATTAAAAAAAATTGCAAGCATTGAAGCTCGAACCCCGATCTTAGCATGTGGGCAGCCTCACGTTTTAGCTTAAAAATGTTGCTAAATTAAATAACAACCACAAAAAATGAGAAGGAGAGATAAATACAGCTCATAAATGGATGTGTTGTGATTTATTATGAATTAAAAAACCAAGTCAACTAGTAATTATATGACTTTCATGTTTGATAATAATATAAGTATAATTTTTTTTCTTTGTTATGCTTGGCTGGATTATATGTGTATATGTTTAATTTCTTGATAATGGAGAAGCGGTGCTAAAACATGATGATAAGATTAAACTATCGGGAACAAGGTCAACCTGTCAGCGGCTTGTAAAAAGTCCATCCCAGAATACTTCTATTATGCTTTTCTGCTGATTATGCCTTTTTGATTACCAAAAATTGTGAAGAATTCATCACTGGGAGAGACTGAGCCTTTTCATCATTATTATTAGCACTTATGATTTATCAGCAATTTTTACTTTATCTGTACCCAAAATTTTGAGGCATTTAAAACTAATCAAAAGTTCAAAACCATGGGAGATAGGGAGTTTTATTGCGCTTCTTCAAATGATTTGGTTTTTGTTCTCTTGTCTGTCTAACGGCTCTGTGGTTATGTCTATTTTAAAATTTTCATTTTCTGGCTCAAGTGTGGTTGCTAGTATTGCAAACAAAGAAGTGCAATGGTTAACTAACTACATATATATGATGCGAAATTGCCAACTCAATCATGTAAAAGCATTGCATCAAACTTTTTTTGACAGAGCTTGGGCTTTTGGTTTACCACAAAAGCAGAAAGAACAACTTGCAAATTTTTGAAATATACGAACTGTGAACAGCACTACTTTTATACAACAGGGTTTTCTCATAAACAAATGAAGTAATACTAACCATACTTTTTTGCAAGCAATTAAATAAATGATAAAAACTCTCAATGACACATACAAATCAATGCATGGAGTAATGCAATCAAAAAGTTGAAAAGCTTTAATGGTCTATGACACCAAGATGATAGGATATTAATAGGAGCAGGTTTATAAGTTAAAAAACATTGGAAAATAAGTGATGCTCTCGCTTGGATGCAATCAACAACTGGTTGTTTAAGTACATATTGCTCTTTATACCTGCTTTTATTGAAAGCAGATATCAGAGTTCAATAAAATGTTTTAGTATAAATTTTCAAGAAATAAAGGCATTTTATCAGTTGTCCTAAACTAATAGCTACCAACTCCAGAAGATGAGCAAAGAATTAACAAATTATATGACCGTGTCGTGATATAGAATCAGTTATCTGCATGGGATTTCATGGGCAAATGCAGGTATTACTCATTTTTTTGTTTGGTCAGAAACTGTATGACAACAGACATTTGAGCTAATAATCAGTTGAATCGATTCAGGGAAATCTTACGTCAATATGATTCCTATTGTATGGTTTATCTCATCATGATTTAGAATAGCCAAAGTCTTGAAGAGAATTTTACTAACCCAGTCCTTTATTCCCACACGAATTTCATTATTTCTTTTAATCTCCTTTTCCGTTGTTGGTTTGGAGCTGATGTGATCTTCTCCTTAGCGTTGTTATCTTCATTGCTCAGTTGACTCTTCAAAATACTTACAGTTCTTCCTCCTACAAACCAACATCGATCATTGAACAAGTTAAAACCAATGTGAACAAAGTGACTCAAATGATTTGGCATGCTACAGACTTATGAAAACTAACTCTCCGCTTCTAAATGCCTTGGAAATGAGCTCTTATCTATTGCAATTCTCTTCGCATTAGTCAAATGGTGAGCTTGAAATGCAAGTGATAATAATTCTCCAGGCAACTTTGTCGAAAAATAGAATCCCAGGGAAATTTTAATCCTATCTTTGGTACCAACATTACCAGAAAAAGAAGAGAATAGGAATGAAACAGGACAAGCATTTTATTTCCCCGGCTTATCAATTAGGTGAACATATAAAAGATTTCTTCTAATCAATACTCAACATGGATCACTTTGACTGTTAAGCAATCGGCTCATCAACAAAAATTAGTGAAGCTCATAGCAGGTTTCAGAGAGAACCCTGTCATAAAGCTGAATGAGTATCATATAATCTTACCGACAGATTGCGGGCCCTGATGCGTGCTGCAGCCTTTATGGCAGCCAGTAGGTGATCCTCTTCTTCAATGCGCTTCTGCCTCCAGAACTTGGCAATCTCTCGGTTTGTTATACTGTCGGCAGTAGTCTTCCTTGCCCAGAATCTTGGAAGTGGCGGTGGGGGGATTGCCTGTTTAGGCTTACCAATGATACTGTCAGTTTCCAACTTTGTTGGATTCATAATCATACAACTCTTTCGTTGAATATGCTACTTAGCTTTGCCTCAAGTCCAAGTTTGAGATGATCAGGTGAAATAACAAAATAGCAGGGGACAAAATTATTGAATAAGTGACAAGCCACTTCCATAACCAACCCCCCATAGCTACTAATCCAACCTAACTTTCAACTGTGAGTGATAGATTGGTTTCTTGGGTGCTCTAAGGTTTTCAATTTTGGAATTGCTTGGCTGGTTTCTCAACACTAACCAGCATGCAAAATTTTGACCGGTAGATGCAATTTCAAGTAGTAAGAATGACAAGTGAAGACAAGTAAGATATGGATAATCCATATACTGGAATGAAAGAAACTGCCATATAAAAAATTAGGCCGAAGAAAAGTTCTGGGAAATGGTTTAATCAATATTTTTCTTCGGTCAAACACATACCTACCAGTAACCCCAACTCAAAATCAGGTCCAATTAAATCGCCAAACAGTCCAGACTCCAGAATAATCCAATGGTTGTTCCCATGGTTTGGATAAACCCTTTCATATTTAATAGATCAATGAGAATCAATTAATGAGAACCATCCTTGATGTTCCCTCAAAATTTTATTTAGCAGTGGACTTTCACTGCAACTCAAACCATGGAATAGACTGATGCAACAAGGTAAATTGCAGAAACGAATTTCAAGTCATTAGCACCAGTATTTACTCTGATGATACAAGGTTCACCCGAAACTTTTTATCAGCTAAGACCAAAATAAACAATTTCTTGATCTGGGAATTTACTACCCTTGCAAACAGCTGAGTCTGATTGGTTCTGTTTATTGAAGTTATCACTTAGCAACCCACCTCTGCGACAGAGTAAGCATCGCAATAGGTGGTTGAATACGATTGAGATCACTTTCTGAAATTATCATCATGGTGGATAATTCAAGGCTTCCATATATGGTTTTTGCTCAGGTTGATACCTGCAGAAACACATCAACATCTCCTGAAACTGTTAGATATTAGACGCATTCCTGGTTCTCCGACTGGAACATGCGACCTTTGTTCTGTTCAATTTCTAACCCCCTATTAGTTTCGTATCTGACTCTGCAAACCGCAGCCTAAAATATCACCAATCAAATCTAAAGTTCAAGAAACAAATAAAGAATGAATCAATTTAATAAACTGAAGGGAATGATGAGATGGATTCTCTTTAATTGGCATAAAAATCTCTATTGGATTGAAGAAATAGAGTGATCGAAATTCACATAACAAGATCATCCGTATACATAGACCAAAACAAAAGAAACCCCCAACCAAAAATATCTACAAAAACCAGAAACCATAATCAGAAAAGTTCTTCAAGTTTCAGACATGATCTTAAGCGCCTTGGTCTTGAACCGATATCTAGGAGCTCTAGGGATCACCTGACTAGGCCCAAAATGGTATTGACCGGGACTGTTGGTGAGAGGAGGACCGTCATCATAAACATAACCAACGAGTTTGCCACAGTTATTGCACTTGATCTTGGTCCTGTTTCGTACGATCCCCCAGTAATTAACGGTCTCAAAAAAAGGCCTGATCTTGTCCTCTTTCTCTAACTTGAACTTGGAGGCGTCGATCAAGGCGAAGGAGAGGGTGCCCTTGTTTCCCGCTTCGAAGTAGAAGTCTGGAGGGAAGAGATGGGTTGTGCTTAAGTTTAGGTTGGTTCCGCACTCTGTACAGCAGTAGATGGAAGCCATTTTTGATTTCAGATTCCAAGGTCCTTGAGTGGTGGGGAAGCAAACTGGGAATTATGGGGAAGCCAAGGTCGGATTTGGCTTTGAATTTGACGAAATTGTCGATGGCAGATTTTCAAACACGCGTCGCTGCTTTAGAAAATTCGTTTATCCCAAAATCAGTTTTATTATGACGAGGTTACTGACGTCGAGTTTTTAATTTGATTTTTTGTTTCTATAAAATCTTAATTTTATATTTAAGTAGTGAAAATGTAATTATTTTTTTATTTTTGTCAAAATAAAAATACATTTATAGTAGGTGTATTTTATATTGGCATTCCATATACTGACAAATAACAATGAAAACATCTGCAAAAATACTTTTTTTAAAAAATTAAGGTAAATCATATGTTGTTGACATAAATCGGCAATGCGCTCTATACAGTTTTCTAGAATTGTTTCAAATTTTTTTAAAATTCAAATAAAAATTTTGAATTAACATAAATTGGTTTCTAAGTAAATCCTCATGGATTCGAGTACGATATTTTTTTTTAAAGTTATTTCAAATTCACAT